TTTATTATTAAGAGCTTAATAACTTTAGCTTTTTAAACTTAATAGTTAAGTTTTTAAGTATTTTTATTATCTTTTAGAGGTTTTTATCTTATTTATTTTAATATTTAACTAGCTTTTAAAGTTCTTTAAAGCTTTTTAAGACTTTAATTACTAAAGTAAAAGTAAAGTAGTCTTATTAATCTTAAAAATCTTTATTAATAAGAGATATAATATTATTATAAGAGATTAAAAGAATTATATTCTTCTTCTCTCTTATATTATATTTATAAAGTATAATATAAGTAAAAGAAGAGTTTAAAGAAAATTATAAAAGCAGATTTCTTACTTTTAGTATTAAAAAAGTAATAAAGTTAATTATAAGAATAATATTATATTATATTTTATTTATCTTCTAAAAAAGATTAAAATTATTTATAAAGAAGTAATAAAAGTAAAAAGTAAGAGGTAATACTTTAGTTATAAATATAACTTAATTATACTTAAAAGTACTAAAAGAAATAATAAAGTATAAGAGATAAAATAAAAAAATAAAAAGAACTAAAGATATACCTTAATTATATTTAAGAGATACTTAAGGAATTTAACTAAAGTAGATATTAAAATCTTTATTAAGTAAAGTGAGTCTTTTTTAATATAGTAATATAATAAATATTTATTAATAATTAAAATATATAAAGTAAAAAAAAAAAGTTTATATAAAGCCTTAAAAATAAGTAAAAGAGATATAACTATTTATAAATTAGACTAATCCTAGGTTTACTATATAACTCTAGCCTTATAGCCTTATAATATCAGCTTTACTTATATAACTCGTCTATTATAATTAGTTTATTATAAAAAGCTTCTTTTATTAAAGTAAATATTTCGTATAATACTAATATAATTAAGTTATAATACTTAGATTTTATAAATATTAAAAGTATAAAAACTTATAAAATATATTAGTATCGTACTAGTAAACAAATAATAAGTGTATATTAATATATATTAAAATCCAAGGTTTAGTTCAAAGGTATTTAAAAGTGTATATTATAAAGAGTATCTACAGGTTAGAATATATACTACCTTCTAAATAACCCCTGGTTTATATCCGAAAGGGATCTATTCCCTAACCGGGATTACCTGCACCCCCTGATTTCCCCTTATACCTCCATAGTAAAGGTCTGCGGACTAACAAAATAACTTGTATATTAACTTTAAATAATCTTTTTACTTTTTTAAGTACTTATTCTACTATTAATAAGTATACTTTATATTTATATATATAGATTCTATTTTAGTTAAGTTTAAAATCTATAGTTATATAAGTTATAATTATAGGATTATACTATTAAAGATAGTTATAAAACTATTAGTTATTAACTTTAAGTAATAATCTTTAATTTTATACTTTATTAAAGTACTTATTATAAAAGTAAATACTTACTAAAGTATATTCTAATTTAAGTTTTTTAAAGAGATTTATAAATAATTATATTTTTACTACTTATATAATTACTTTTTAGTTAGCTTATTTTATTATACTATTTAGTTTATATATAATAATAAAAAAAAGCTTAAGCTTAATATTAAGTTTATCTACTTATATATTATACTTTCTAAATCCGTAAATTATAATAATTACTTTCTTTTAATTATATTTAAATTTATAAATTAAAAGCTTAAACTAAGTATATACTTAGTACTTAAAGCTTTTAATACTTTTAAATACTTTATTATAAGATTTTAATTAAAATATATAATTATTAAGTAATCTATTATACTTATATCTAAGTACTAAGAGTTAAAAGTAGTTTCTAAGGTATTTTAAGAAATTAAATAAATCTTAACTAATTCTCTAGAATAGCTTTATTAATCTTCGCTTTAATAAGTAATAAGATATAACTTAAGTAGTATATATAAGTATATAATACTTATACTTTAAGTATCTTATAGTATTAGTTATTCTTACTTTTCTTAAAGCTTTTATTATCTTTTAAAGAGTATTTAAATCTAAGTATTTTAATTATAAATATTATATTATTTTTAAATCTAAGTAAGATTTACTATAATTATAAAATAAGTAGAATACTTAATTCCTTAAATAGTTTATACTTATAAATACTATAATATTAGCTTTATTAAATAGGATCTTATAAAAGTTAAAAAAGTAATTTAGATACTTATTATATTTAAAGAATATAAGATTAAGTTTATAAATAAGCTATTAGACTACTAGATAATCTCTTATAAGTTAACTATTATTATATTATAAGTAGCTTCTAGTATTTACTTATAAAGTACTTATAAATCTCTTTTAGTTTCTTCTTACTTAAGTTTAATTTATACTTACTAGTATTAATAAAGAGCTTTTTATATATTACTAGCTAAAGCTTATTATAATCTTTAAGAGCTTACTTATATATTTTATCTTAAAAGTATAAGTACTTTTTCTTAAATATTTAATCTACTTTACTATTAGATTTTAAAGTAAAAGAATCTTATTTTTTATTACTCTTTCCTCTAAAAGTAATAAAATAACTATATTCTTTACTTTTATTACTTATAAGCTTATAATACTATATATTAACTTCCTTTATATAGAATAGTTATATAAATTATAAAAAAAGTATATAACTACTTTTTTCTAAGATTATTTACTTCCTTAAATTAGAGGTAGTATTTATAGGATTATATATAATTAAAGTTACTTATAGTAATTAGGAGGTTTATAATCTTAAGTATTCTATCTATATTTAGAATATAATATAAGATACTTTTATATATAAGCTTCTAATAAGATATAATCTAAGTCTTAGAGTTAAGCTTAATTTCTTTTATTAACTTAAGTAATAATTAGTATTTATTCTTAATTAAGGTTTAAATAGTACTATTTATTTAATTTAAAATATATTTAAGTAATTAAAGAAATATTTAAATATTAAAGCTTTTATTAGTAATAATTTTTATACTTATAATCTTAAAGTATTACTTAGTTATTATTTTCTTAATTTATTTATAAAGCTTTTAGTACTAAGTTATTTAAAGTTACTAGATCTTAGTATTTATCTTTTATAACTCTTACTTAGCTTTTACTATTACTTTATAATTTAAAGCTTTTATTAATATAACTTATATTAAAGTCTTTAAAATAACTTAAAGATAACTAGAGCTTATATTTAAAAAGCTTTATAAAGTTCTTAAACCTTATATTATTACTTAGCTTATAAGCTCTATTTTATACTTAATATAAGAGATTTTATATAATTTTATCTTATAAGCTATTATATTAGTTATAATTTACTTTATAATCTAAGAGAGCTTATTAAGGATTTAAGTAAAAGAAAGAGTATCTAAAACTTCTAAATTAATATAAAGCTAAAGTCTTAGAATATTTATACTTAGTATTAAGTACTTTATCTAAGTAAGAAAATCCTTTAGTTTTAAGTATATAATATTAGTACTAAATAATTATTTAGATTTTAAGAAGTAATCGAGAGGTTCTAATTAAAAGCTTAATTAAAGTAATAGAACTATATATATACTAAGTACTTAGAAGATAAATATAGCTCTTAATTATTATATAGTAGTAGAGTAGGCTTTTATTTAGTAAAGAGCTTACTTAATTAAGTAGAAATTATAATATTAAAAGATATATTTAAAAGAATATTACCTCTTAGAATCAGAGGCTAAGAGTATATTATATATATATATAGTATACTTACTAAGTATATACTAAACCTAGGATAGGCTTATATAGCGCTAGTGTTCGATATTTAATATATTTTACTATTAAAACTAAGCCTAATATAGCTTTTATAATAGGTTAATATACTAGATATATATCTGATTCTAATAGTAAGTTAGCTTTAAAATTAACTAATAACCTTGAATTTTATAAAAGAAGTAAATATATTAATATAACCTATTACTTTATAAAAAATGAAATAGCTATTAATAAACTATAGCTATTATATATAAATACTAATAGTTAATTAACAGATAGCTTTATAAAAGGACTAAATAATAATAAATAATAAAAATTTATATCTGCTTTAAATTTAACTAATTACTAAAGTAATAATAAAAATAACTATAATAGAAATAACAAGAATAATAATAAGATAAATATCAAATAATTAATATATATCTTCCTTTCTTATATTAAGTGTTTTTTCCGAAGAATAAGAATACTATTACATGAAGGCCTATATATATACCTCTTTATAGCTTTACTTTTACCTACCTACCTTTATAACTTTATAGCTCTTTTAATATACGCTTACACGCTAGTATACTTATAAAATAACGCCTATAGACCTTCTTATAAATCGTCTATATTATTCTAGCTATAAATCCTTTTGCGAGATCACTAATTATCCTCTTTAGAGCGACGGCTATTAATTACTAATATACTATATATATTAGACTTAAAAACGTAAGTAGTACTAAGAGAAGACTAAGAGTAAGTTTATTTAAAAGAGAACGAGTACTTCAGAGGTAAAGGAAAGGGATTTAGATACTAAAGAAGCGCGTGAAGTTAGAGGCGATATATTAAAAGTAAGAGAAGGAAAGCTAGTGTTAATAAAAGCTCTCTAATAATAAGTATTAGTAGAATTAAGAAGAGAGATAATAAGAAATCGAATAGAACTGTTTTATATAACTTAAGATTATTAATATCTCTATAAATAAAATACCCTCCGAAATACTCTCTGATTCTAAGCTATAAATACTCTTAGAAATACCCTCGAAAGGTTCGATAGCTAGTAAACTATTAAAAAGCTCTAGGAATTATAATAACTTATCTACGAGTCTACCTGCGAGCCTACTTACAAGCCTACCCTTGAACTTATCTCTTCTACCGAAGCTCTTATAGCTAACGAGTATAAAACCTTTCTAGATAATAATACAAACTATATTTAAGGTAAGTATCATCCAACTTATACTAACGTCTAAATGTAAGTATAAGAAATATTAGAATAAGATATTACGTATTAGAACACGACTAAAATAGCCTGAAAGCCTTTATTAAGGATATAAGTAGACACGGGCGGTTGTTATCTCTTTTTCTTATAGACTGCTTTATTTGCAACAGCTGTTGGGACACCACGGATGCAATTCTAACATTGAACCCATTTCGCTCCTCATCAGGTGGACGGCTACCTCTCATTCAACTATAACAGCCACATGCTGCCTCCTTAGACACCAGATCTTTCTGACCAACGCCAGAACAGAAAACCTCGCATAATCCATTTCGCGCCAAAAAAAAAGACAGCTAGTGCACTATAAACGCCAACGCAAGATGAACCAGAAGTGAGAGAAAAAATGTCCCAGAAGTAGAGAAGGAAACCTAATGTTGCACTATCATAACCATGCCACCTCACGCCAACGCTATGCTCCTGCTCACAAACGGACTCTTCGTCCACTTCCATAATTACTCGCTGGGTATCAAGACGCCATATCAATCGATTTCCACGATCTCCCGATTTTGTGCATTATTCCTTCCTTGGCTCTGGTTTTGACTTTGGTTCGGTGTTGACTGCTGTTGTCTCTGTGGCTGTTGCTGTCGCGGAGGCGCTTGTTTCTGGAGGTCTGGCGCTGAAGCTTGAGCTGACAAAGTGATATTCAGGCCTTTCCCGCTCATCGCGAAGTTCCTTACAACTTCATCCAGCTTGAGAAGAAGAGTCTCTGTACCACTGCCCTGAGCCACTGCGCTAATTCTCATGCCCTGCCATCGCAAGCCTGAAGCATTCCACAAATGTTTCAGTGCTTCATCAAGTGTGTCTTCTCCTTTGCCTCGAGACGAGCTATCAGTTCGTTGGACATACCACCAAGGCACTCCTTTCCGTTGCCGCAATCTAACCTCGAATTCAATCTTTCGAGACATCAAAATAGCGTTGACGTTTGGGGAGGGGTTAACGAGGTTGTACCTGATTAGATATGAATCGGCTGCCCTGACGTTAATAAATGCTTCCCCCCTTGCGCTCAGCTCGTCTGAGCACCATGCCATTTCAATGATATCGAAAGCGCTTAGAATAGGAAGTGTCAATGGTAGAAACGTCGCGATGCCATCCAATCCTTCAGGTCCATTCAAGATCTTCGCAAGAGTATCCGCAATTCGAAGGTGCGGATTGCCCTTCTCCAACACCAATACCATGATATTGTCTGTAGCGCTGAAGTCGACTGTTACCTTGTACACATTGGGAGCTGCATCGACACCCATCACGTCTGCCGCGGGGGCTGACGGGTTGTGCCGATATGTGAATATTATTTTCCCCAGAGAGACCATTTCGCAGACCAGGGTTTTCTCGTGCTTGTGAAGCACCTGGATGAATTCTACCAATCGCTCAACCCGGACCATGCGGTCAATAAGAACAGGGACGACAGGTTCGCCTACCCTACTATGCAATCGTATCGCGAAAGATCCGGTCTGAGCGTTGAAAATCACATTCTTGTCGACCTGGTCATTGATGTTCAAGAGAGCCTGCGGGAGTGGAACCAGCATCTGCGCTTCCGCGATAAGTACCGCACGTTCCCCAGCACTGAAAGGTCTTTGGGGAGCAATGCTCGGAGGCTGACTGCTCATCATCGGTACCTGCATAACTTGTGACTGCACAGGACTGCTTAGATCATCACTGTCGTTGAAGCCCGACGAGAACATCTCCACGCCTTGAAAAGTGATCCGGATGATATCTTTGGCCCAGGGGTTTCCAGTACGTGGAAGTCTGTTTTTTGACGGGACAAGGTCCGAAAGGCGAGTATAAACAGAAGGTAAAATAAGGGCCTTGGAAAGCCTCCCCTTCCCAAGCATATGATGGACATGTTTGGCGTGGAGGATCTTCATGTTGGTGAAGTGGGAGATGACGCCAGCAGCAAAGATATTCAGTGTGGATAGGAAAGGATAAGTGGGTCTAGGTGATGATGTCTGGATCGGAAGTTTGATGGCACAATCAACCTCCCGGTTATTCGACTGCAATGTGGTAGGTACTAAGGCACTGTTTGAGTAAGTCTCTGCATATTTAACGTTGCGGATATGAACTAACGTTTTGACCAAATGCCATTTCTCCCCACTCATGCTCTGGGAAACAGCTAAGAACCAATCCTTAGCCCAGCCATATCGCCTGAACCATACGACTGCCAAATGGTCCTTGCCAGCAAACTGCTGCACTCTGTCTAGTCGCAGCTCTGGATTACCGACTTTGTTCCATCCGACACTGAGAGCACGCGTTGAGAGGTCTTCCGTAATTAGGAAGAGACGAAGACGTTCAACCCACATGTGCCCTTCGCTCGCAGGATCTTGGACCCGATCATTCAAGCCAGCTTCAAAATTGGCAAAAGCCCGGCACATTGGACTAAAAATAAAACGACCGGATATAGGGTTGATTTTGATCGACAAACGGTGTTCACATGTCAGTTGAATCTTGAGCTCGGACTCTGCCGGATTATCTTGAGAGATGTGCAATGATAACTCCAGGTCACCTTTCGCGAAGAGAGGCTTGACCACCAAGTTTTGATAAATAGCGGTCAGGATATATTCCACGTGTCTGGAAATGACCGACTCCAGTAATGACTTGGTTGAAATACTTGTAGTATCGAATGTAATGTCGAAATCCTTCACTTCCTTAGATTCGCGAAACCATCTGATGAACAACAGACTCGTCGCCTTAGGGTCCGGGCGACTGTCTTGTCGCCTGCCGCTGTGAACTCCCAGTATAACCCAACTTTTCGAACCTTTGACGAGGACACCTTTTGAATTCCGAAAGTCGGTATATCTATTAACCCAGTATTGGATTGAGATAGGCCTGTTAAGGATCTCGACTTTCAGTGTATCGATCCACGTAGATCTAGCTAGTGTGACAGCCTGGCGTCGGAATTCGTTAATCTTGTAAGTCAAGATAAGCTCATGCAAATACTTGTAGCATCCAGAAAGACCATCCTTCAGAAGGATCTCGTTGACTTTATTTTCCAAGTGCCAGCGGATTCCCGGGTCCATATTTCCTGATGATGGCTGAAACAGGAATCGGAAATCAATAAACCAGTACTGCGACCCCGATTCTTCATCTGCAATTGTAAGGTCTATTTCAAACTCTCCCGGTACTGTGAAAGTAGCACGACCAGACCTGATAGTGAAATCCCTGAATTGGAACGGTATGCTTTCATGATCTTTTAAATTGAGCCGTACGCAGAGGAGAGTGTTGAGCTTCTCTAGTGATCCCATAACTTCCTTGGCGGTCAATGGTGGCGGTTGAATGTAGTTTAGCTAGACCTATTAGCAAAGTTGCCTAATGACTCTGTTGCTTATACTCACATCCGGCATCCAGGACGCCTGCCCAGTCGTCAAAACTTCTAAGGCCGTCTTGATGTCCGGGTTTGGCAGTCGAAAATTCTGGAGCGCCCTCTTGTTCTCGGCCATCAAGTCCACCGCATCTGTGTAGAGCCTTTTTTGGGCCTCCAAATGGATCCTCAAGTCAATCAAGCGGCTAACATCCTCCGCCTTCCGACTCCAGCCCGTGATAACTAAAGCCTTCGTCCATGCTTCATGCGACGAGGTTGCAAAATTCATCAATCGCAATTTTTTGTTTACATTTTCTGGTGAAGGATCGTCCGTCGAACTGAGATAAGACACACTGCCATTTACCGCCGAAGTAGGAGCTGGCATCCGTCCTAGTTCCTGAAGGGTACCAAGCAAGTCCACATGTGTTTTTTGCGCCAGTCGAGCAAGCAAAGTTGAGAGTGGAAAGTAACTCTCAGAGATATGAGCAACCTCTTCAGGCAATCGGTCCACTCTAGCTTGCATGGTTCGTGAATCACCATTCTCTCCAACCCCATGCCGCAAGCCTTCGGGAAATTTTCCATTCAATCCATTTGAAATGGCCGAACTTACGGGAGCCATGATTTGCGACTCTCTCACCTTTCCTTTGTCTTGGATCCTGTCTACATTGGGTAGTACACCATTTATGCCATTGGGCCGTTGGTCTCTGTCATGATTCGTATGTGAACCATTCCTGCTCCCGTGGTCCATGATGACGCCGGGCATGCTCCCTGATCCCAGATCCTCTTGCGGCCTCTCAACCCCCCAAGAGTCCCCCCCAACTGCCCCCGCTTCAACCTTTGCCCGCTCTGTCGACTCTATCTTGGCTGATGTCTCGAAAGGTGGGGAATATTGCGATTGTAGAAGGGCTCAACGAGCAGAGCCTGCGCTATCGATGAGGGCCAAGGGGCATCGGCGCGATCGATAGCAACCACTGAGACTGGGGCTGAGATGTTCGCTGAGATTCTTGAGACTGGCAGATTGTGCGAGCGGCTCTGCGCTGGAGGGTGAGGATGAGGATGTAGGACGTGAACTTGAGCGTAATGTGGCTGGCAGGTCGAAAAAGAGGTTGGGCTGTTCGTACGTAATTGCTGATTAGGAGTCGAGCAAATAATTGGCCTTGGGAGTCATGAGATTATTAGTTCCGTGGTCGCGTTGGTTGACATTGACGTTTATTTGTTTGAAGGTGAAGGTAAAGAAAGGCGACGGCGACAGCGACGACAACGTTGGTAAGTGGTTTGCTTTAGATGGGCGGTTCAGAGAAAGCGCGGGTCTGGGCGGCTCGTGCAGGGATGCCTACCTACCTTACCCATCTTACCCACCTTACCCACCTCAGGTAGGTACCGACCAGCTACCTTCAAGGTTACCGTATTAGCCGGGTACCGTACCACGTGATATTTGACATTCTCGGCGCTCGGAAGGTAACGGACCAACTAAGGTAGATAGGTAAGCGAGGTAAGGTACCTTAGGCAGGGAAGGTGGAGTACCCCGAGTACCTACGCTGCGCAAGGTGGGGGGGGGGGGGGGTACCTTGAAGGCAAAAGCCAGGTTTTGGGAATCGGTAGAGCTGCAAGTGCACTGCAAAAGCTTGGAAATCAAAGGAAGCTCGAGTTTCGGAATAAAACGTAGAACTGTTTGTATGATATGATAGGCAGGGAGGTAGGTAGACACCTGCTTCTGTTTCTTTTAAAAAATATTGTCCCCTCAACTGCGACATGCACATCTCATTCGGCCTTTTACAGGGTGTCAACAAGGTGCGGGGCAGGTCTTAGCGACCGATCTGGCAGCCCTTTACTTCGTTAGGCACAGTGTCTCGCTTACAGGCTTTACTTACAGTACAGCCTTACAGGGCTTTCTGAACAATGCATGGAACCGCAGTGACAAAAGCGGGCAGAGCGTTCACGCAGTATCTCCTGCGAGTACTTAATTTGTAGTTAATACTAGGTAGGTACCTAGTTACGAGTACGGCGCCCACTGTTCTCACCGTAACTCGTGGGAATTCCTATCAACAGATCTTTGCTCCTGAAGGCGCTGTCTCCTAACATAATTTACATGCTCTTGCTCTGGCTTCTGAGACATGTTACGAAGTTGAAGCCAATGGAAGGACAAGGCGATTCCAGGACGTATTGATACTGTAGTGGTAAATATATATAAATGAAGAATAGTCTTCATGTATCAAATAATCTCAGAATGTCTCGCCTACTTAGGTACTGACAACCATAATCATATTATCTTTTCTCATGTTCTCTTCTGTTCTGTTTTATTGTATTTCCAATGCTGACTTGCCGCCAAGCTTTCAACCGCCCGTCAAGGCCAGCAGCCAGGCACCAGGCATCATTACAGTAGGAGCAGTCACAGCTAGCTTCGCAAGGGCCTCGGGGGGGAACAGCTCCCTGTTGTTCAACATCTCTCTCCGTCATTCGTTATCCATCTTCAGCTTCTTACTTGCCTCGTCCTTCTCTTTTCTTCCAGCGTTATATATATATCATTGCGCTATATCCCATCGCATTGTATCACGAACAGTATATCTATTCTTACATTTCGACCCAAGTGCATTCGCCCAAATGTCCCTGCATCTCCGCTATTTACAATAATCGCCATTCTGTACCACGATGTTTTAAGCGCCTCTCGCCTGCTTACCTGCTTACCTACTAAATATCGCGTACTACCAATCCTACACATAGCCCAATCACCAGCTGTGGCATGTAACAAACAATGGTACCAAGACACGAATCCCAAGCTCAACCGCGACCAGATCATCCGCAACGCGAGTTGTCCTCGAACAGCACAAAGAGATCATTCCATTCATATACTTCGTCTTTCGAAGCAGATGACGAGCACTCGAGCTCTAACAACGAAAGCATGGGACCAGATCATGGCGTCAGAGAGGGACCGTCTCAATACGATGGAGAAGATACACGCTTGACAAGCCATAAGGAGCTGTCGGGATGGTACGCATATGGCTTTGCGGCAGAGGTCTTCGTTATCTGCGGAATGGGTGAGTAATGGTTGGGCAAGAGAAGCTCAGTCCGGGCTTCCAATTACAAGACTTCCTAGACCATGCACGAACCATGGTTACAGAGATACACTGCAATAAAGGTGTCGCGAGCGGCTCGACGATTGGGATATCAAAGCCGCACGCAATGGTTACGATCAGGGTGCTGTACTATGCTAACATGTATTCAAGGATCATTTATCCCTATTACCCTCGAACAACTGGCCCGTGAGAATGGAGTTCTACTTTCTGATCTCTCTATACCTTGTCCAGCGAGTTCCTCGCACCCACCGCCTAATTTTCCGGGGCCGACCGCCGTCAAGGACCTTGGACAATGCGTGGTCCATGTACTGGGTCTGCAAATAAATACCGCAAGCTTTGCCATGTACACGTTCTCTTTGAGCGTTTTGTTTCAAGCGCTCCTTGTGGTATCAATAAGCTGTGCTGCAGACCATGGCAACTATCGAAAACGGCTGTTACTACTTTTCGCCTTCACCGGCTCAGTAGCGACTATGCTCTTCCTGCCAATCATTCCCAAGTTATATCTTCTGGCGGCCCTCCTTGCCATGATATCAAATACTTGCTTCGGTGCAAGTTTTGTGCTCCTGAACTCATTCCTACCACTGATGGTTCGCCATCATCCAAGGACGCAATATCAGAGCCCGGACTTCACGCCTGACTTACAATCAACAATTTTGGGAAATCAGCCGTCAGATGTTTCACTACATGCCCCAGAAGGCTCTCAGGATCTGACATCTCCTCTACTATCCCCAGCACCGGACCCGACCCGGCCTTTGCCAGCGGCTAAAAATCTCACATCTATCGAGTTACAGCTCTCTACACGGATATCATCCACCGGTATTGGTGTTGGGTATAGCGCAGGATTACTTTTACAATGTGTCTGTATTGTTATCGTCTACGCTCTACATAGTACAACTTTCTCACTGCGCCTTGCCTTGTTCGTGGTTGGTGCATGGTGGTGCATTTTCACAATTCCTGCGGCGCTGTGGCTGAGACCCCGACCTGGCCCTCCCTTACTAGCGAAAGCTAATGGGGAGAAGAGATCTTGGATTGCATATATTGCCTACGCGTGGATGTCCCTTTGGAGGACTGTCAAGCTTGCTCGCCGCTTGAAGGATATCACACTGTTCTTGGGGGCTTGGTTCCTCCTTTCAGACGCCATTGCGACAGTCTCTGGCACGGCAGTCCTGTATGCCAAAACTCAACTCCGCATGGAAGCAGCATCCTTAGGATTCATAAATGTCATAGCAACGACAGCAGGCGTTCTTGGTGCCTTTTCATGGGCCTACATATCTCGTAAAGTTGGCTTACGACCCCACCAGACGATACTTGCTTGCATCTGCATCTTCGAAGTCATCCCGCTGTATGGCCTTTTGGGCTACCTTCCATTTGTAAAAAATTGGGGCGTGATCGGCCTTCAACAACCGTGGGAGATGTATCCTCTTGGATTCGTGTATGGTTTTGTGCTCGGAGGTCTGAGCAGCTATTGTCGCTCGCTATTCGGGGAGCTTATTCCACCAGGATCAGAAGCTGCTTTCTATGCACTCTACGCCATAACGGACAAAGGCTCGAGTATCTTTGGCCCAGCAATCGTTGGCGCTATAGTTGATCGAACTGGTGAGATTCGACCCGCATTCTGGTTTCTGGCTGCTCTTGTCGGTCTACCTGCGCCGTTGATTTACTTTGTGGATGTGGATAGAGGCAAGGCAGAGGGTGTCAAGTTAGCGGAGATTATTGAGGGGTTCAAGAGTGCCGAGGCAAGCGAATCACAAAGCTTGCATGAAGAGCAAAGGCTCTTAAGCCATGAGCACGAGGAAGATGATTCAAGGGGTTAGACTGGTCGTTTTTTGGCCATTTAATTAAGGCGTTAGGCATCGGTGCACAGCGATGGAGTCATGGCCTAGGTCTTTGGAGAATCATGGTATATCTTGTCATGGTCTTTCACTGATTTTTTTTCCGTCTTGTACGCGTCTAGTTTTGCTTTAAACATCATGTCCTCAATACATGTTAACAATTATCTCAAGGTTAACTCGGGAATTACAGGTTCGCTCTTCTAAAAACACCCCTACAGAGCGAGTCTCAATATCCAACGACGGAAAAGTCTCGTCAGGGTAAGCCGCCACACGCAATGGCCACGGTATCACAAGTGTTCACCTTGGCAATCTATGTCGACCGACCCCATACGAGCCTACCACGCCGGCATATCTCTCTCATGCTACATGACCCTTCTCGGCAGCCTGCAAGTGATCTCTGCATTCCGTAACACGGAATTCTTGGCAGAGACCGAATTTGTCAACAGGCTCGAACCCGAACTCGAGAATGGTTGCGCGAGCACAGGCAATGTCTTGAGTAATGTCGTGAATACCTGTCATCACTTGGCGATCATAAGATATTGACATTGGTACTTCTTGGAGGTCTAGTGGGTCTATAACAACCCCATGCCGGCTGTCGAGTAGCCTGTCACTTTGACATCCATCTCAAAGCTCTACAAGCCAATCCCCCCAGCGCGCGAGTCAAGTCAACAACATTTTTAGCAATCATATTCCAATAGTCTATCATGACGTGCGAAGCGTCCAGGTTCCTCCCTCTCTTGCCTGTTAGCACTACTTCCTGCGCATCAGTTAGTTGCCTACCTTTCAAGGTCCACATCATCACGTCAAATGCTTTTCAACGACTAAGATTCTCCACTTCACAGGTCGCAACATCCAACTTTCCATTGAGCGCCGAACCCTCCATTTCTGCTGAATTGAAAGATGCCGACGGTAGGCTACAGCAGCATCGCTGACGCTGAAGGATTATCTAATTAACATGGAGCAGAGAACAGGAAGTTAGAAATCGAGATTAAGCGACTCGAGGAGGAAATAAAGCGGCTGCAGGAGAATATATCGGGTTTGAAAAGCATGTCTTGAGAGTCTTGGACACCACTTAGCCGGTCTCCATTGCCTGTGTCCTTGCCTGAGTAAGGGGATCAGGATAGGTGGACTTCTGTATATTGTCTTTCGTAGTACGTCTCACAAGCACTGTGCTTGCAATGTGCCTCCGAGCCAAATTTATCAAGCCACCGGTCTCTAAGTACTGGAAAACACCTATCAAATCCTATTCCTATCTTCCATCATCGTAACCACAATGTTGCTCAGTACAAAGTTGCTCAGTACAAAGTTGCTCAGTACAAAGTTGCTCAGTACAAAGTTTGGCTATGCCAGCGAGCTTACATATGCCATTTCTTGTTAATCAAAGGGAAGTTTGTTCTATTGCTTCAGCCAGTGACCAATAAGATAGTATCATAAGCTCGTTGAAATCTCGATCATCGATGCAGCTTTTTTACCCATGTCCCGCTGATATAGATGCTAGTTCTCTAACTTCCATAGCGAGCCTCACAAAAGAGTGTCCTCTCGCGAATTAGCCAAGCAGATCTGGGCTCGACTCTAGCCCCACTGCCATTTCAAAAACGACTCTCCTGTCATCAGTACAGGCTTCGACTGCGATATTTGGAATCCTTGCTATTGTGGTGTGGAACAACCCGGCACCGTCTCGTCCTGGAATGCCACCGTGTCAAGCGCCCTTCCGAATATCATTGAATGACAGATTAAGAACAAGGGAAGGCAGTAAATAGAGTATGAGCTAATCCAACTAATATTATTCTCAACTTTACAAGCTCTCGTGTACTCGAAAGATATTAGTAATAGTCCATATGCCTGCTCGCGTGTCTGGTCTGGTTCCTGAGAATAGTGGTTCCAAAGAGAATTGCGAGACACACCCCAAAATAATGAATGTGGGATTAACTTGGACTTCTTCCATCGAGAGCTACAGAGTGCTGAAACAGCGGTAATGCAGGTGTTGAAGGACCATGGGAGCTAAGACTTTCCAGTGTTGAGCACTGATGCCACTGAACGAGTTACCAGAGCTAATGAAGTATTCCATAGCCTTCCTACCAACTTTCCATCCGGCTGCAGATACATCCTCGTTGCGAAAATCCGTTTAGTGTGCAGGATCTTCTTTTTAAGCCTTATTATCCAGCTGTTGCTTATGATTCCACGGCTACAGCCTTCTCAGTTGATAGGAGTCGACTAGGAAATGCCTGGCTGTAGTGACTTTGGCAGTACAGGTAATAACGGCTCATGAGTCCTTTACTAAGAACATGTGGTCAAATTTACAGAGGGCTTTGAGTTGGTGGGGACACTGCCATTTGTAGCTGTCGCAGATCTCCAGGCTCAGTCGATGCCCTGCCATATTTTACATCTATCAATGGCATGATGCTTCGGAATGGCCGATTACACAGTCACATCCAGATTATTACTTACCACACTCATAAGACCATGCTATGCTCTGATAGATGTTGCAGAGGAGTGCCTGGTGTCTCTAGGTATTGCAATTATAGTCGAAAGCTCCAAGCAGAATTATATTGCAGCGACAGCAAGAGGAGTCATTGCCTATCTCCGGTCTCCAGACGACTTACTAGCGCCAAGGACTGTTGTTTGTTTAGCTGTCCAGAAACAGGCGCCGAGGATCGCTCTTTGATATATGTACATTATTATTGGCAATAAGGGAAGCATCTAGAGGAATTTTGGCATGTAATTATTTGTGTTTGTGTCGGGTATGCCACTGAGGTCATGAGATGGCGGGAAATATCAAAGGCCTTATTATCGCTAAAATATATATTAGAACAATAATGCAATAGACCAGGGAAGAACGTAAAGAACCTCACACAAAGATCAAAGAATAAGATACTCCAAGACTAGAAAGAACAATTGCAACTTTGACTACTCGAATTTAAAGGGCCAGATCAGGTCACTAAACTATCTGGCTTAAGGCAACTTGAGAATAGCTGCACTATGCACTAGGCTTTCTGGAATCAACTCTGTATGATCAATAGGCCTAGTACAGTGTCTGTCAGATATGCAACAATTCCAGCAATTCATTTCCCCCGAGGCTAAAACTGGCTTGATTCTGTCGTTGTCAAAACCGTTAATGGATATGGCCAAGCAGAGTCCAGGAATACTGGATATGTAGTAGTCAATAGGAAGCCAAAACACGCAATATGCTTGACTCGGAACTAAGGTACGGATTTCAGTCCCTTTTTTTGCACCAATCCGATTCATTTTGTCGATCAATATCTGTGAACACTGCGACGAACCACCAGGCACAAAGAGTAGGAGGGAGCATGTGGAGGAGTAGCGACCTCGGTTTCTGTAGAAATACTGTTAGTCTTTTAGTGTGACACAAAAACGAATATAGATCATGTCAGAACTCTAGAGACTGTGATTGGATGACTCGAGAGTCGAGAGTTCTTGCTCGGATAATCATCTATGTCACACACGCAACCTCCTTCGAAAACAAAGCTTCGTCACTGCCTGCATCTGTTGATAGAATTGACTACAAAGGCATACAGCACAAGTTGGAGGTGAGCATTCATGATTCGAGCTCTCAGTCTGTGGCCAAGGCGTCATAAACCTTGCACGTACCACGGACGGGAGTATCTTGCAGGTTACTGTTTCCATATCGGAAATTATCCGCCAGCTGCATCATCACTTGAAGTAAATCGAATGTGTCTGTGATCAAGTTTATGCTTCTCGAGGATTGTTCTTGTATATAAATGCAATGAAATGAGATGGAAACCAAGCTATGACTTTTGGATGTCCAGATTCAGCTCGACCTGTCAAAATCCTATGGATCAGGCTAGGACAACGAGGTAGAATGCGTAGTCCTATAGAAACTACGGAGCTACAAGCCACCCCATCTACAACAGGTGATACGTTCTCGTACAGAAAATCCTTATAGCGCTTAATATTTCACGTGCGCAGCAATACGTCAACGGAGATGTTCCCAGTCGTACAGTACCACCAAATGCGTAAGAGCTAGGACATGTAACGCAACAAACAAGCCTGTGTTCAGGTCCAAGAATGAAAATCTCAGCTAGGATCTGCACACTCCAGCAACAATTCCAGTGCACATCCTGTACTAATGGATCCTTGCCGAGAGATAGACTTGTCCACTCTGGAGTACCGCGGGAGCTCATATTTTGAAGCTCGAGTTATGTCGCATGCTAAGAAATAACCTGATACAGATCGGCAGGTTACATCAACATGGTGGTATAATATGCGTATAGCCAGCGAGGGGACACTGTGAAATTAATCTAGAGCCTGTGATACAGTCAGATCCCCGATGTCACTGTTGTCGCACTTTGCTCCACAGTCTATCGGCGACCATTTAAAAGCCGAAAGTGCAAAATTTCAAGAAACTGCAAGATTGAACCACTGTGCAACAGTTGAGCTCAACAATCCGGTCTTTGAAAGGCTGCATATATCTAAATACTTAGTGATCTCGCCATACATTGATGTGGCTTCAGACTTCTATTCTATGCATCAAGTAAACAGCGACATTCTAAGTCTCATAGGAGCTAGATATGGTCGAATTTCGCCCCGAAGATCACCAGATATTAGTTCATCAAGTAATAGCGGAGAATATGAGATATCTGAATATTCTCCTCACTTTCAACCTTGTATTCTTCTACATCACCTCTCTCATCATTGACAACATCCTTAAGCTTGTATTGTCAACAACTTGCTTCCAAGGCCACACAAAGCCATAATGCTCTTCTCAGCTGTTACTCTGTTGCTACTCTGCTGCTAGGCCTTTCCTGGTTGCTGCAACAGCCCCCCCACCACGCACCCAAGGGCGACATACCGAGGCAGTTGAGTTTTGGCGGTCGTGAGTCTATTTCTTACCAGGTCATATTTATTAAAGTTTTGCTAATGGAGAAGGGTTCGGTGGGCTCGTTCCGCAGCTCTTTGAACCCCACGTCCCTGGGTCCAAGGATCCCGACCATGGCATCAGTAACTCGGTCATTCACGTGGAGGTCACCACACTCCATCAATGCAACACTGGATTAAATAATATACAGCCATCATATGTGGTATTGCATAGAGTATGCGTTGCAAGATATCGAGCTAACCATGGTCACCAGAAGAAGCAAGTTCCGGGATGGATTTACTTTACTGGGAAGAAGTTCCAAGGGCGCGTCCACGGTCCCACGTACTAGAACATCAAAGGAGAGCTTGAAGACGAGCTTCCAATTGAAGAGCTCTTGCTGGATTCTGTCATGTTCATTCTCGATCACTTGCTGGATTATGAAGGCGATTTCAACGGGACACTGGATAGAGGTCAAGTCAAGTTTATATGGGAGAAATCGGGTGCTACAATGCTTGGTAGAAGTGGAAAAGGAGATTTAACCATCAAGGGAAAGATTCACATTGACTGGTCTCCATAGACAGGGGGGGTAGTTGTGCCTTGTTACTCCAGGAGCCGTTGTTTCCCCTCTGCGGGTTTGACCTCGCCCAGAGACAATGGAAATTCGTATCGTACTTAGCTAGTTACCGAGCAGTACGGCGCTCTTAAACTTAGGTTCCTTCATTATGTGAGCCAATACACACTGAATACCCACATAATCTGGAAGGCGAATTACTTTATCTTGAACAACCCCCCTCCTACCCAACAACACAGACACACACACACAGGGAAAACCACTACTGAGTATTTGATCTACCAAATACATTTCGTGGATATTGGTAGTCGGCGTCATTAAAAATCAAAAACTGCTTTGTTCAGAAGAGATCTCAGGTTCGGATGTTCTGCGAAAGGTATGTTATTTCGCTTACGGAGAGGGAGCCGAATCTCGATTACTGGCCGTAAGAGAGTGCATGCAGATAGGGAGGACAGAGATTGCGTCATCTTCATCTTCACTGAACTCCCGCGGATGGTAAAAAAAAAGAGGCATTGGATGAAGCATCTGCACGCCATACAGACTATTGTCGTCTAGTGAAGGATCGTTACAGGCACCGGCTGGTAAAAGCATTGCCGAGGATTTCACGCTTTCATTTTCGGCTTAAGAACTGCTCTATTGAATTCAGTGTAGGCAAAATATAAGATTATGTTTATACCCATATATACCTTTAATACTTATAGGCTACAGCTAAATCCACTTGGGTAAATAACTATAGCCACTTGCTAAGCCTCGGTTAGATTTTCGAGTGACTACACCTGTATATTTATTAACCGCACTACCTTATACTAATTACTAAGGCGCGCAAGGGAGATTAATATAAAGGTATTACACGGATCAATTATCAGCGATACTAGTCAGATAGGTGGTATAGAGCATACTATATTAGTTGTTACACTTTATAAAACTAAGCACTAAGTATAAAAACAGCTCTCTATTCAGGTGTAGGATACAATTCTAAGTAGGCTAGTCTTTAGTACTTACAGAGTGTTAGCTAACTAAAGCTAACACTTGAGGTTGACTCTCGATAGTAACTAAGGGACAGGAGTACTTAAGAAGGTGCACGATAGACTTCATTCAGGGTACATAAACTTAGTAGTTAATAATACGTATTCGCGAGTATCCTAAATGCACACCTTATATCCAAGACTTAGCTGGCTTAGCAAGTGGATTTAGCTATTTGCCCAAGTGGATTTAGCTAGCCCCTACTTATAATGCAAGAACAGAAGTGTGGCTGGTATTATTGGTATTGTAACAATATCTGATCCCGTTCCAAAGTGTGTGGGGATTTACCCTTTACTAATTGGCTCGATTAGCCACGCTACCTTACCCCACTGTTCCGGGGCTTGTCGTACCTATATATCCAGAAATCTTTGTTATATCAACGTAAATCTATAACCAAATAAGACGTTCCCGTGCACCGTTTATAGAAACTGCCCTGCCCGGGTAGCTCAATCGGTAGAGCGTGTGGCTCTTATGAATTTTCATCACAAGAACACCTCAAGGTAAGCTCGCCTAATATACCTATTGTGATCCCACTCGCTGACCCTCAACAGGTCGTGGGTTTGAGCCCCACCTCGGGCTCAATTCCCGAGGTTCCTATCACTGGGAGCTTCTTACATTTACTTTTGCAATTTTCTTTCTTCATCCACGTCTAAGAAACCGTTCGTTTTTTAGCTTTTAAGGGTTCTCAGGTGGTTACGCCTAGAAATATAAGCAACTTGAAAACACTTAGTTGCTTGCATAGTAGCTTAACACTAAGTACTTCCGATTCAATTTTGTGTTCTTTTGGTTACGATAGAATGTATTTTTCAGGTTTTGAATTAGTGTGTCTTGACTTAAGCGAAGCCCCTGAGTTGCCTCGCTACCCCTTTGATTAAAACAAAACAATCATTTGTCCTCAAGCGAGTCACAAAATAACGCAAAAACGTATATTAACCAATACGAAAGGCTATAATAACGCATAAAAATTTATAAATCACAATCGCATTTAATAGTTCAAGCGACTGCCTGCAAAGCGTGGCCCTGAATTACCGGCCTCATGGTACTCTGCTTCCTTAGCCTTAGATTTCACATGAGATTATTTCATAGTACGTAAGATTGTTGTATTCTCGAAAGTATCAATCACAGTATACATTTGTTTACAATCAATAGAAAGATAGCTGGTATCGACTTCTCCCTATTATTGTGACCCGCCTTGGCATACACGCCGTTGACCTATGACGAGAGCCGATAATTTTATTCAAGACCTCACACCTCATCCTCGATCACCCAAATCTGGATTTTAGAAGCCTTTACAGCACCGGGCCTTGACGATTATCATCTCCCCAGGTCGTAAGCTTGCCTGCTACTTACAGTCGCATACTAATGTTAAAATCGAAAGATACAATTCTCGGAAGGTCGGCACTTGAAATCTGTCCTCGAGGAGAGCTTCTTTACTATCTACGACTTGACCACAGCGTTACCAAGCAATTCAGAGCAGTTCTTGAGGACTCAGCAAGTAAACCCCAACATTTAGAGCAGGGTTTGAGTAGCTCTGCGGGTACATCGAGAAGAACAAACGGGCTCAGATCCAATTAACGCCATGCGAAAGTACAGAAAGAACTTATACCGATAAAAAAGACTAATCTGGACTAGTGTAGAGTAGAAAAGAAGAGGAAGCAAGCATTATTTATTGCTATGCCATGCGACGAGTATTATCGACTCTAGAATGTCCATGGTCACTGTCAGAGAATGCCATATAGCTCGGATTGCCAGAAAGAGCCACAAAAGTCAAGGCTCGAAACGCCAGCTACTGCAACCGTCAGGCACAGAAAATTGAAATCACCAGTTGACATATACGCCTGTCAGAAAGTCAAAGAACACACTCCGTCGCATCACTCTGCGTGCAAAACACCATCTGCACTGGCCCCGCGGAGATCCCTCGACTGACCATCCGCTCCCTCATCTCAGCCAATCTTGGAGCAGCAGCAATCTGGCTTCTATTTTGCCCACTAGCATCTTGTCGTCCTGACCAAAGTACCTCTCCTGCGGCACTCGCGCGTGGCCAGACCATATCGTCAAGGTTAACGGGATCAGTTTGCTCGGACCAGATGTGAACTTCGCCACCCATGACGAGGTGAGTCTCATTGGCTGGGACGCCACTCAGAGGGTCGTAGGAGTAGACGAGCCGCCAATTCTTGGTGGGGGAACAGTAGTCGAGGAATGGATAGTATTGTTGGAATGATGCACCGTTCTCGAAGTTGAGCCATTGGCCTTTACCGCAGTCAAGATACCAGAAGTTATAATTCCCAGCTAAGACTTTGTGACCCTTGCCTGTGAGTGCTGCTACTGATGCTTCGTTGAGCCATGATTGAATGAGAACATCGCTACCAAGTGTAAGGTTCCATTCCAGAGCCATCTCCTCCCATACAATTGGCGCAAGTCCTGCCCTTCTGATTTGATCGTGGTTTCGGTCTAGTAACTTTTGGATAAGCGGGCCGATGACAGCGCTTTCGTTTGACTTGACAGTGTCGTCCAAAAGGTAGACCTGCTTGTTGACTTCATCTCCTCCAGTATGGAAATACGCTGAGTATGGGACGACTCTTGGCAAGACGTCGTCGAAGAGCTTTTCAAGAAACTTGGGAACTTCAGGGGAGTTCAACTTTAGTGATCCACAAGGAGGTTCATTACAGTATATATCCCATGGCTTTGCGTCAGCACCCGCGATCAGTTCGGGGTAGGTGTAAGCAATGGAGGTGGTATGACCGGGCATATCAAATTCAACGATAATCTCAATGCCACGTTGAACAGCGTATATCTGGATCTTCTTGAAATCAGACGGACTATACGTTAAACCAGGTTGAAAAGCTCCCTTCTTGGACAAATCGGGCATCGATGGGATATCGAGTGGCCAGGATTGCGCATCGGTCATGTGAATGTGCAGACGGTTAAATTTGTTCATGGACAAGGCGTCAATGGTTCTCATGATGTCGGCGACAGGGAACCAGTTTCTGGCGACGTCCATGTTGAGACCTCGGTGGGGAAATTTCGGCGCATCGGTGACCATGACGGGTACCATGTTAGTGTAGACGCCGTGACCGGAAGAGTGCTTGTAGAACAACTATTTGCTCGATCAGTACCTGCTTCGTCCAAAGTATCGATATCAAATATGGAACTATCAAAATGGGCTTCGGCTATGAAGTGAATAGAATGGAACATCGAACTACCCTCATCTCCCGTAGAATTCTCATACTGTACACGCTCGGAAGTTTGTTTCGAAAGAAAGGAGAACAAGACTGACTTGTGTGAAGGTCTGAAGGCCATGGAGGACTCCAGTCGAGGAGACAGCGCTAAGCTTTGCAATACCATCCATCCCAATGGTGATATTATAGGACTCATCAACTTGCCCAGCTAAGGGCTTGAAGGTGCTGGAATTGTCAGTACCGGTTTGGGTAATGGCGAGATTCGTGATATACAGCTTCTTGGTGGCCACCTCCGGCTCGAAGCCTACGAGTTCATTTCGGGCGACCAATTTCCACGGGACGAAGCTCTGGTTGAATAAGGCGACCATGTTCCGGGCAATGGCACCTTGGACAATGGAGCGGCTCGAGAATCTGGTGCTGGCATCGCCACGAGAGTAGAGAGAAGACTATAATCCCAGCAAATGTTTAGTATCGTGACCTAGGAGACTGAACAGAATGTGCCCTACATCGCCCTGCTCGTAAGAAACATGCACGCTCTCTTCAATCCACAGGACTGAATTGCCAGTCGAGATGGATTGGGGAGCTGGCCAGATCGCGAGGACCTGGATCGTGTTGAGAAGGAGAAGGAGGAGGTATGGATATCGGAACATGATGACGATTATGAGTATGTTTGCGAAAAAGAAAAAAGAAAAATCTTCTGTGAGATCAAGAAGGTACAAGAGGGACGTCGAGGTGTATGTACACGATGAGGATGTGGATGTGTTTATCACGTTCGAGAAGTCAAAGAACATGCGCTACGCGTTCGCTAAATGCATACTTGCAAGGATACAAGAGTTGAACAAAAGCGAAACAGAGCGATGCAAAGGCAACTGCAAGTAGGTGCTGCGGTCTGAGCTCAGATTCTGCCTTTGGTTCCGCAGATTAAAACATCATGTCATGGGAGCGCCTGTAACGTTATCCTTAGGTATGTCGACGAGATCCACGAGCTTGTGATGGTTGGGTATACCAAGTGCTGGGAGGATTCAGCATCCACGGAGATCGAGCGGCTATGCATATTGGATAGATGACAGTTGAGCGAGAGGCAATAAAGCATGAATTGTTGGCTGAGGCGTATCCCCAATGAACACGGACAGGTGACAGTCACTACTAGTTGGCTCGAAACTTAGAAAGCGGTTCACAGACGCAGAAGTGTCACCATACCCAGGCACTGGGACTCAGACTCAGACTCAAAGTCGTACATTTGCCAGGTATCATGCAACCTGAGGTGACCATGGTTGTTGACATTGATCTTATCTGCCTTGTGTGGATCCAGCGTGATGACGGGTAAGGCAGAGATTGATCTTCCCGAAACTCAATTCCATGGTTCTGGAGCGACAACATGCCAGGGCGGTACCTTCAGTCAGTAAATTTTACGGTCTACCACTGTTTCTCGGACCTATGGAAGCTTCTGTGAATATCGAGTGCTGGGAGGAACTGGCCTCGAGACGAAGCTGCATGCATTCTTATTAGAGTGGTGGTGGTGGCGCGTATTTGAGCTGGAGCTGGCGGCTTGGTAAACACTGCTGGCCGCGCCAGTCATGCGTCAAGCCTCAGATGGCTAACTACAGTACTGTACATAACCACACTACAGTTTTGCTGTGGCTGTTCATGTCAAAGGTAGAAAGGCAATTCTTTTGTGAGGATACAAAAGGCCCAGAAATATCTCAGAAGGACTCAAGCTACTGATACATTACATATCCGTACAGCATGTTCGGAAGCCACCTGAGGTAGCGACGTCCAAACTGAGAGATATGGGTCGTGTCCGGGGTGAAGTTGGTGAGCTGCCAAAACGGACCTTGTGGCTAAATTCAGGTCCTGCGCGAGACTACTTACAAGACGTCGTTCTTACGTCGATTGTCGATTTCTGGACATTTCATTGTCTGCTCCATTCTCCCAGTCTTGTTCTGTTCTCATGGCTGAAGATTAAGTGCCTACCTACTTACATGTCTGGGTAGCTCGTGGAACGGAGTTGCAGCCGCCAATCCAAAAGAAGACTAGGGCATTCCTGGTCTCCCATCTTTCAACTACGCTTCCACACGTGACTCGACCGACAAGTATGGAAAGCGCCCGACCCTTCTTGAGCCGCGATTCATTTCGTGAGGCGGCCTCCTTGATCACCAGTGGAACAACGCTCTTTGACAACCCCAACCCGTCCTCGACTTCGAATCACACAAAGACAAAGAGTTACGGCCTAGGATCTGATTCAAAGAGAATCTGTCCATCCGCGATTTCCGTCGAACTGCAAAAATTCGAGTTCGGGCATCAAACATCCCGTGCTGCGAATTACCTCTCGCTTTCTTCGCCCCACTGCTTTCACAGCAAGACATTCTCAAGGAATACCAATATGTCGGTCGAGATCGCAATCGAATCGCCTCTGGCACAAGCACTGAATTCTGCCATACAACCAAAATTGGTAGAGGTGGGATGGAGCTCAGGTGGCGGCGACGAGGGTCAGCTTGCGGAGTACATCCTCCTCATGCTTGCCAACAATAAAACCCAAGAACAAATTGCAGCAGAACTCTCGAGCGACCTATTGGGCTTGGGACCTGATGATCCAGGAGCCAGGGACTTCTCGCAGTGGCTTTTCCAGCAGATCGACATACTTAATTCTGCGCAGAATGGCACAAATGGTTCCGCGACCACCGATGGGCAAGCAAACGTGCAGGATGCAGAGATGGGTGATATCTCAGATGCTGGAGATGGGAAAGTGTATGCCATTTCATCAGTTGACCTTTCGCAACCAGATACCACTCTCCCTGCAAAGCCCCCAAGACTAACATATCATCATAGACCTACGGGTCCAAAGTCCATGCGCGACGGCACAGGCGTCTCTCGCCCAAGAGATAAGAGAATGCTTGGACACCTAGCAAAGGCAATGGACAGAACAAATGATTCAGTCCTCCACAGAGTTCGTCCTCAGAACGGCAACGAGCGCATCAATACCCACTCACGAGCTCCTCCGACTGGACCACGACAGCAAGCACCCGGCCGCGGCGGAGTTCGTAATCTGAACTCGAGGATGAACGGGAATAGTATGGGAGGCATGCCAATGCAACATGGGGGAGCGGCGCAAAGCATCATGAACATGACACAGGGCCAGCAGATGCAGCTCTATCAGATGCTGGAGCAACAGTCGAAACTCATGGCAGCAATGATAACCCCACAACAGCAGCATCAGATGGGCATGGGTAGAGGCGGTTTCGGACTGAATAACAACTTCGGCCATCAGCAACCTGGCAGATCTCTGTTCGATCGAGTACAACCACATCAACGACCGCAGAACAACCAAAGATTTCCCCAGACTGATAGATTTGGTGTCCAAAACCAGCAGCCACGGACTGGCAGTGAAGCACCTTCATCATCAATGGATGTGGAGATGTCGCAGGAGAAAAAGGAACTCGACCCGGAGAACACCAAATGCAGATTCAACTTAAAGTGCACGATGCCTGAATGTAAGTTTGCCCATCAGTCTCCAGCTGCTCCTCCTGGGGCTGCTATCGACTTCAGCGATGTCTGCTCCTTTGGCGCTGCCTGCAAGAACAAGAAGTGTGTTGGCAAGCACCCATCGCCTGCTCAAAAAATATCGTACCAGACCGCTCAGCAATGTAGATGGGGAGCCGATTGTACCAAGGTTGATTGCCAATTCGTTCACCCGACACCTTGCCGAAATGGCGCCGATTGCAAGGTTCCCAATTGCAAGTTTGGCCACACGAAGATCGAATGCAAGTTCAACCCGTGCGAGCGTCCAACGTGCCCATACAAGCACCTCGAAGGCCAGAAGAGAGGAAAATTCGAGGACAAGGTCTGGACGGCAGAGAAGAAGGAGCATGTTAGTGAGAGGAAGTTTGTGGAGGAGGGAGGGCCGGAGGAGTTGATTATCCCAGGCAAGCCAGAGGCAGTGTCTGCTCAGGCTCCAACCATAAAAGAAGAAGAGCCGATCTCTTAGGAAGTCGGCGTTGGTATTGGGAGAGAGGTCAAAATGTATACCACGTCCTTTGCATGTTATTGGTGTTCAGGGTGGCGTTTTGGTTTACTTTGCGGATGGAATTCTCGAAGCAAAAGATCAGCTCGAGACAAGATTATGTAGAATGCAACGTGCTTTATTGGCACCTTGAGAGGAAAGACTCTTGAGGTAAGCCACCCAAACAATACTTCCTGAATCATTACTGTGACCTGAACAAGATATGAAAATATTTTGAGAACAGCCCGCCCGGTCATCGCGGGGGTGGTGGCAGGGTGGATCAACACGGGCTGGAGTTTAGCGAAATGCACTAAGACTTATGTGACGTTGAATAATCCCCAGACTATTATTGTTTACTACAACCTAACACTATTTCACAAGGCAATGCCTCCTCAATTGCCTGAACATGTCGTGATAACTCTACTCCGACAATGTTACATCACACCCAGATGCCAGGCATCACGATTGTGCCCGCAGCCACTGCCAGATAGCTGCACCAGGCATGTCTCCACGTTCCGCCCTTGTACACGACTGCGACACCGACACGCTGCAAGAGGTGGAACCCAGGCTGGAAATTCTTCTATACATACCAGAGCCGGAGATGAATTACAATCGTCCCCCAAGACCAGTTTGTTAGAGCTGGCCCCGGCTTGCGTGGGCATCCATCAATCAACGGTCGCTTTTGCTGCCCAGCATAATGATCGAGGACGAAAGGTAGAACCGGCGCGCATTGCTGTGCTTGGAGGTGGCATAACGGGACTAGCGACCGCGCATTACTTCGCCAGGGAAAATCCGAATGCGAAAATCACAGTATATGAGAACAGTGCTAGGCTAGGCGGGTGGTTGAAGAGCCACTACATGGACGTGGATGGGGAGAGTGTTCTCTTTGAGTCAGGTCCTAGGACTTTGCGGCCGGGTACTCCTCCTGGACTCGTTACCCTGGAGCTGGTATGTTGATATATTATTGTCCGAAATACATGGACTGATAATACATTAGATCCAGGAACTTGGTCTCCAAAACGAACTGCTCATTACCTCAACAGCCTCTGAAGCCCACCAGAACCGATATTTGTACTATCCCGATCGCCTGGTAAAGATGCCTGGAGCAGGACAGGATCCATTTGATATGGCATGGAGGGTTATGACCGAGCCTGTGTTCAAGGGTTTGATATGGGGCGCTTTGACAGAGCAGTCTCGTCCCATTCGACCCAGCGACATGGATGACGAATCTGTTGGCTCTTTTCTCGCTCGAAGAATGATGAGTGACGAGCCGGGCAACAACATTGTCTCGGCTGTCCTACATGGCATCTATGCAGGCGATATAAATCAATTGAGCGTCAAGAGCCTAATGCCGATGATGTGGCACTATGAAGCGTGGAAGGGTAGTATTATAAAAGCTGTATATACGAGGATGGCGGAGAAAGTGGAACTGGTGTCTAAGAGGGATCTCGAACTCAAGCTGGAGGTGCTGCCCATGATCAAGGCAGACTTGTTGGATGTGATGAGACATGCCAGTGTATACTCCTTTAAGGAGGGTATTGGAGTTCTGTCTGCCGCATTGGAGAGAGCTTTGAAAGAGAATCCTAATGTGGAATTCAAAATGGAAACTGGAGTTACGGCCGTGGAACATGATGGTGAGAGTGACAGTATCAAGGTACTTTGGCGGCTTGGCTATATTATTGTTCATACTAACTCACATCACAGATCTCGACCAGGCATGAGGCTCCAGCCAAATATACCAAAGCTATATCCACAGTCCCCAGCAGTGTCCTCTCCAGCCTAACATCTAACACTCTTCCAAGCCTGGCCCGAACACATTCGGTAACAGTAATGGTCGTAAATCTCTACTTCAAAGATCCCCACATCCTCACAGAACGCGGCTTCGGCTACCTTATCCCACGATCCATCCCCTTCACCCAAAATCCCGAGCGTGCACTTGGTGTCGTGTTCGATTCCGACGCCGTCAAAGGCCAAGACACAGCCACCGGCACCAAAGTCACCGTCATGCTCGGTGGCCATTGGTGGGACGCCTTCGAAACCTACCCGGACGAAGAAGAGGGCATCAACATGGCGCGGTCCGTCCTCCATCGGCACTTGAAAATCACCGACAAGCCTGCCGCAACACGTGTCTCTCTTCAGCGCAACTGCATCCCGCAATACACCGTTGGACACGAGTCGCGACTGCAGGCTGCACATCTGGATCTCATGCGTGAATTCAAAGGTAAGTTGGCAGTGGCTGGAAATAGTTATACAGGCGTGGGACTCAACGATTGTGTGAGAGCTGCTAGGGATGTGGTTATGGGTATGAAGAGGGGGACAACTGTTACGGGACTTGAGGATGCGGGGAGGAAGGATTTATATGCTCAGGTTGCGGTTCCCAGCTCGGCAGACGTTGAGGCTGGAATTCGGAGGAGAGAGGGGAGAAGTTGATGGAATCTTGCTTGGCAAGTAGAAGATTTTATCTCAGGGATGCCAAAGAGTGGTGTTTTCTTGGGCCTTATAATGACAATGGCCGAAAGAAGATAATCAACCGTACATGAACAACGTAAAAAAAAAAAATCGGACTGGTATAAGCATTCCAAGACCGCTCGTCCTATAGTGACTGCTGTTTTGCTGTCTCAACATTTCCTATCAACCGCACCAAATGGCATTTCCCTCCTGTCGTCACTTCCAAGATCTCCACCAAAATTTGGCTCTTTCAGTAGCAACCTGACAGGCTGGGTCATCTTCCTGTGGCATCAAAATATGTGTAGGAGGACTGTAGGGGGTTGCTGTCTCCTGCATAGAGCAGAAAGCTACACATGGTGGACTTGGCTTGCGTATTAGGTATGGGCAAGTAGTGGCTACGATACGGTCAGCCCACAATGGCAAGGAGACGATTATGACATATCAAAGCACTCGAATGCTTAAGTGAACCCTGGAAACCTTACTGTGAGCAACAAGCTGCATAAATAGCCTGATGATGTTGGTGCACATTTGTGGAAGATTGTTGTTTTCGTTGCCTTACTGGAAGGCTTAGCCGAGCGCGGCTTTACATGAGGTATTTACCCGTGGTAATTCGTATGATACCACAACATCCTGCAAGCAATAAGTGGCATATGAATAGGACGCATCGGAATGTTTGCAATAAACAAATCCATTAGGTGACTCTATTTAGAGCTGGTGACTTGTCCTTAAACGAATCAAAATGTGGTAAGTATGTCCTTGACATGCTTGGTCCAAGCAGAATATTCTATACTCCCATATTATCGTGGTCTAGCTCACGATGGATAGTCTTCGAACGCCACATCACTCACTGGACATCAAGGGCATGCGTTCGATTTAAAACGGCCATGTAGATAATCCCCCACCAGGGCTCTTGCGGCCCTCTACCACGACATCGAAAGCTTCATCCGCCCACAGTGCATCGAACTTGTTGTCACCAGCATCAGAGGTAATACTAAGATTTCCAGGCCCAAGCCTCCTTTATCAGTTTCTCTACGGTCATGTTTTCCAAATCCGGAAATCTCTCATTCAGTCTGAATCCTTTGTCGTCAGGTAGTAAAATGAGACCCTTCACAGCCATGGTACCAAACATGATCGTGGCAGCTCTCAAGAAGCTGTCCTTGGCCATTGACTCCGTCAAGTTCGTAAGTTCGTAACTACCCCCCTCTCAAGCTTCTCAATACTGTCATATGAAACCTTGAACTTCCTCCTGGTCGCATCCTCAGCCCATTTTAAAATCTCATTGAACGTGACATCCTGACCTGCGAAGCCACAGAGTATAGGCCAGTCAGATTCATCCAGCATCTTGATAATAAACTGTGCGAGATCGGGTGTGTAGGTCATCGACATCTTCTCAGTGCCAGTGCCAGGGATAGCAGCCACGCCAGCCCCGATGTCGACCGCCCAAGTAAATGGATTCAACGTCGTCTCGATATTTGGCATTCCCCAGTAGTCCATGAATTGACCAGTCGAGATTCTGGTGTACTGCAGTGTTTTCGTCTTCGCCAGCGCCTCTGCATTTTCGACCCAGTATTTGGCGTAGGGGTCTAACGCCGCAGTCTCTCGATTCGCAATGACTCCAAACTCGCTAGGGATGAAACGCTTGGTGGTGGCTGATCTATCAGCTGCTAAGATAAGGTTTAGTTGCGACTGTGAGCTTGTGCTGCTTTCCATGGTGATTGCTGAGAGGATAGTGTCGATTTGATTGGTCTCAAGTATTGTGACAACCGACTCGATGTCTGAATAGTCAACTTTAATGTGTTTGACAATTGGTGGATCTGGTTCTTCTTCCTGGGGGATGTTAACAATGGACGAGGAGGAGGGTGAGAATTTTGGCTGCTTACAGTTCGACTGAGGATGAAAACCTCATGTTTTGTTTTAGAGAGTGCTTGGACAAATGTCTTTCCCAATCCACCTGCACCGCCTGGAACTGCAATTCGAGTCATTCTTGAGAGGGGGGAAACTGTTTGCAATCTTCTTGAAACCGGATTTAATACGACAGAGGATAGAATGGAAAAGGTGATGCCACCTAGCTACCAGACACGCACAAATGCTTCTATATACCCAACTGAATATGTTTGCTCTCGGGCCAAACTAACTTTTACTACAATGACGGAGGAATCCACGGAATCCGGCGTGGATTCTCTCCCAGCGCATGTCATATTTCTTGTGTAAGCAGCAGAATTGTTGCTTACAGATCCTACGATTGTTGACGTCTGCCAATGCTTGGTGCTTGAGAATTAGTAGATATAGCAACACAAATTTGCCTTTACTTGGAGATCCAGGGTGTTGGTTCGCTTAAATCCAGTATGTGAGCTTGCTATAGTTTCGAGATTTACGATATAAAAGACCTAAGGGGTAGGTACTTAGGTACACTAGTATAGCTGTTCTTATAACTAGTTAGAAACTACAGCTACGCGCCCGCTCTTATTAAAAATTGTTTCCCTCTTCTTTTTAAAAACCTATTTACTTATATCTTTATAAAAAGTAATTATAAAATATTATAACTTTATAAAAGTAAATTAAAATACTAATAAAGTAACTTATAAGTTTCTTAGTTTTAATTAATTATCTAATTATAAAGTTATTAATTCAAGTTAATTAAGTTATATAAGATTTAAAGCTTAAGTTAAAAGCTTAGCCTTAAGGTAGCTTATATCAGGGGCTCCTGCCGTTTTAAGCAGGCTATAGCCCTTAAAGGCTATATACCTCTCGAGCTCTATAGCTCTTCCTAAGTTTTAGTTAATATAATATTACCTCTTTTACTTCTCGTGTTCTTAAGTACTTTATAATATTCTAAAACTTCTTTTAAGTAGTATAGTAAAGAGAATAACGAAATAAGGAGATCCGCTTAAAGTCTTTTTACTAAGATACCGTAGTACTACTATAGCTAGACCTCGATTAGGTATTTAATATAACTTACTAATATAACTAATAAGAAGAGTGATATTTTCCGGGGAAAGGATTAATCTAGATATAGCTAAATAACTATCTTAATTATAGAAGTAAAAGATTAAGATTTCCTTACTTAGTAAACTATTAATAAACGCCTTAGAGCTTAGTATAATTATAAGCTCTAAGAATAAAGAAGGCTCTAGCTACTAAGTATATAATAATCTAGACTCTCTAGACCTATTATCTATAAATTTAGAACGTATCTATAGTATTAAAAACGAAGATCTAAACCCTATTAGTGAAGATTCTTTCTCTCTAGTAGCTAGCTATTAAGTATAAGTAGAGAGCGAGTAAGAGAATCACTAAGAGAACTACTAAGACTTACTAATATTATAATACTCCTAAAGCTACTAACGCCTTTAAAACTCTCTACAGAGAACTTATAATAACTCGCTAACTTATAATAATTCCTTATTATACTCTTACTTTTTACGTAACTCTTAAGCTATAATCGAGGTATAACTTAAGGAGATTAATCGTCTTAAGGAGCTAAACTAAACTATATTTATAAAGATATAAGCTACAGAACGTTAATAAATAGTAGGTTTTCCGGGTTATGAAAGATATTTCAGAGCTATATTAATAATAAGTAATGCTTTACTTTACGCTATAATAGTAGAATAACTAGCTAAAAGAGGCTTTCTCTCTAGTCTAAGAGGTCCCTTAGTATTCTTAGAATTAACTAGCTTATTTAGTTACGTAGTTAATTTTATTTTAGGATAATTATTAGTACTTTTATACTTAGTAGTAGTTGTACTTTCTAAATACTTAGGCCGCTTTAGGGATTAACTATAGAGTAAAACTCTCTCTATATTTATATTACTAAAGGATAATTTATAATTCTAGATCCTTAAAATAAAGAATTATATAGTAGTATAAAGAATAGTTAACTTCACTATATAAGTTACTATAGTAAGAGACTATATTTATACGACTATTAAGAAGCGGATTTAGTTCCCTTAACTTAATAGTATATTATAAGAGGTTACTAAGTTTATATACTAGCTCCTACTAAAAGAATAGCTATTCTTAGAATATAAAATATAAATATTAGCTATTAAAGTAGATCTTAGAATAATAAAGATTTAAATATTTAATAATTAATTAATCCAGGACTTTATTAATTTCTTTAAAGGTCTACTTTAAGATATATTATAATACTATAAACCTTTAGTAGTACTATCTAACTACTATAGTAAACTTATATAACTTATCTTTTAATATATCTATAATATTTATAAGGGAATTCTACTAATAACTTACTTTATTATAAAGGAATAAGTACTTTAAGCTAAAGAGTACTTATATACTACCTCTTACCTTTTTAATAAATAACTCTCTTATACTTTAGCTAAACGCCCTACGGCTTAACTATAGAAGAATGTTAGCTTTATAGTAGCGCTTATAAGTATAAATACCACTTCTACTATATTAAGAGAACTTTTATAAAATATATTAGAAAATAAGAAAAAAAGAGAAATATAATATTCGGATATTCTAATAGAAAAGAGAAAAAGATTATTATAATAAGAAAAGTGATATTTTACTTATAAAGTAACCGGTTATTAGACTAGAGATTACTTAAAAGGAAATAGAGGCTCTTTTTATTAATAGGACTAGCAGGATCAGAGGTAAATAAGTCCTCGAGGGAAATCTATAGTAATACTAAGAATAATATATTATTACTTACTAATAATAAGTATCAATTATCTACGAACTAACTCTATAATACTTAAGAATAACTATATACCTTACTAGGCTAAGTCTTATATACTATTACTATTCTAGCCTTTACTTAATATACTTAGTGTACTTTTAACTCGTTCTAAATTCTATAAAGTTATAGTTTTATTATTATTTTTAGATAGTTTAAATATTAAAATATCTGTACTTATAGATACTAGTATATTATTAAATTTTATTAATATAACTTTAGCTGCTAAAGTCTAATATTAATAAGATAACTCCTATTACTTTATAGTTAAGGACGCTAAAAGGCGAGTACTAGCGCTTATATCTACTATAGTACTCTTATAGCTTCTAATAATAATACCTTAAATATACTTAATAAGTAATAAACTATTTTAAGAAATAGAACTAAAGGTAGTAGATATAATCCTTAGCTTTCTATAGTTAAAGAAATATAACTTAAAAGTTAATTTTCGTACTAGTGAACTTACTTATAGTAATAATACTTTATTTAAAGAAAGCTTTAAGTATATACTTATAGTAATAGATTATCTCTATCTTACTAAGGACGTAGCTAATAAAATAGATAGCTTACTTTCTATAACTAATAAGTATAACTTAGTATACCTTCTGAATAACTTAGACTTCTATAATAGTAAACTACTAGGCCTACTAAGATACGACCTTAGTATAACTATAAATAAGCTATCTATTATACTACTAGTGAAATATACTATATTCTCTAAGGTATTTAACTTTATTAAGGCTTAATAACTCTTACTTTATTATCCGGGACTAGATTACGAAATCTATTTACGCCTTAATATTAAACCTTTATTTAGTTTTATCTATAACTTATCCTAAGAGAAACTACTTATCTTAAGATAATACTTAAATAAGATACTTACTTAAGGATTTATTCGTACTTTAAAGTCGGAAGCTACTACTCTATTATTATTTATAAGAAAGAAAGATAGTAGCTTAAGATCTTATATTAATTTTCATATACTTAATACTATTATAATACCTAACTACTACTTAATCCCTCTAATCTTAAATATCTTTAACTAACTTAGGAAAGCTACTATATTTACTAAGTTAGATTTACTTAGCGCTTATAATCTTATTTATATTACCCTAAGATATAAATAGAAGATAGCTTTTCGTACTTACTTTAGCTTATTTAAGTACTTAGTTATACTTTTCGGATTATATAATATATCTACTACGTTCTAAGCTTATATTATATCGAATACTAGCGCTATGTAAGCCTGTCCTAGGTTTAGTATATATTTAGTAAGTATATTATATATATATAATATACTCTTAGCTCCTGATTCTAAGGGTAATACTCTTTTAAATATATCTTTTAATATTATAACTTCTACTTAATTAAGTAAGCCCTCTACTATATAAAAGCTTACTCTATTACTACATAATAGTTAAGAGCTATATCTATCTCTTAAGTACTTAGTATATATATAGTTCTATTACTTTAATTAAGCTTTTAACTAGAACCTCTTAATTATTCCTTAATTCCTAAATCTTTATAACTCTTTTATAATTATATTTACTTTCCTAATAGATCTAGAATCTAGATAATTACTTAGTACTAATACTATATACTTAAAACTAGAAGATTTCCTTACTTAAATAAAGTACTTAATACTAAGTATAAATATTCTAAAACTCTAGTCTTATATTAATCTAGAAGCTCTAGATACTCTTTCTCTTACTTAAATCCTTAATAAGCTTCCTTAGATTATAAAGTAAATTATAGCTAATATAATAGCTTATAAGATAGAATTATATAAAATCTCTTATACTAGGTATAAAATAAAGCTTATAAGCTAAGTAGTAGTATAAAGTTTAAGAACTTTATAGAGCTCTTTAAGCGAGAACTCTAGATCTCTTTAAGCTATTCTAAAGGCTTTAATATAAGTTATACTAATAAAAGCTTTAGATTATAAAATAGTAGTAAAAGCTAAGTAAGAGCTATAGAAGATAAATACTAAGATCTAGTAACTTTAAATAACTTAGTGTAACGTTTCTAACTCGGTCGGTGTCGTGAGTACAGACTCGTCGGTTGGTATCAGCTATGAAGTAAGGTAACAAGACGCTCGATTCTCAATAGGAATTGAGACGTTACAAGCAGTGGTAAACTAGGTGTAAACTTGCTATTTGATTTGAGCACGAAGCTCTACTATCTAGGAAACTACCTACTCGTTATATAGAACTTCCGACTTCCTGTGCAAGCCGTGCAAGACGTCTTGCAGGGCGCGCAAGCCCGCAAGCCCGTCTAGCAAGCTAGCACATCACGTGACCCATGTCCACCGTAATCAACATAACTATTATTATGACAATGAGCGTGGAGTATGGTACTACTCGCTAATTCGTACCATTCTCTTGTTAGTGCCATTCTCTCAATGGTACCATCAACCCTTTAGTACCAAACACCGACTGGTGCCATCCACTTAGTAGTACTATTAGTATTATAGTGCTAACCCGTGACTTGTACCAAGACTGAGCCTGGTTCGTGACACTTAGTACTAAAAGCT